GGACTCAACTCTGAGCTTTAGCAGCACTTTTTGCCCTCGATGATCCCCCCCCAGTTCTCTCCCCGGTGCTTACAGGCTACCCCAGCTCTTTCCTCCCTTGCGTGAGCCTTCCCTCACCCTCCTCAAAGAGATCCCCACCCTCCCGGGGTGCCACATGAAGGTGCTCACAGCAGCAGCCCTTTCCCTTTCAGGGGAATTCCTCCCTGATCTGTGCATCTGAATCTTTGCAAGGTGACACCCTTCTGGGACCTTATCTCAGCACCAGGCCCCAAGCACTTTCACTAGAAATGCCACATTTGTTTGCACAGCCTGGAGACCCAGTTGATTTTTAGATTAAAGCAATAACTCATCACCTTTCTTCCACCAACCTAGAGAAAGTGTGAAGCCACCTTAGTTATCACCATCATTAGCAGCAACCTTTCATCGGCTGCTTCTGCCTCACCTACCTCTTCACCAAACCGTTCTCCTTCAAGAGCTTCTTCCTTTAGCAGAAGTTCCCAAAGCTACTAGAAGATCCTTGAGGCCATCTTCTTCAGAGCAACCACTTCTCTACGTTCAGGAGGTGATCTCAAACCACAGACACCCTTATTTTTATCTTCTAGATGATCTTGCCAAAAGAGCACTTGAGAATGAGGCCCAGCCCAAACTGGAGAAAGAATCCCCAGTATGCGTAAATTCAGGTGCAACTGGGGATAGCCTACAGGGAGATAGAGACAGGGCAGATGCTGAACCCCATAAAGACTTACCTTCCCTCTTCTCTGCAGCACCAGTCCCCCTGCAAAGCAAAAGCACCCACACTCTTTCCACCCCAGAACTGGGTAGCTCTTACAAAATACAGGAATGAGAGACAGCACTTGACGAGCTGCTGCAAAAACCAGTCTGAGCCCAGACCCAGGGTACCTACAGGATTGCTGTCTGCTGGGGCATTAGCAGAGGAGCACCTAGTTTTGAATGCAATCAAGGTGAGGTGAGAATGAGGTAACGAGTTGCTCATCTCCATCAAGCTGAGGTCAGCTCCCAGTACATCCAGTTGTGCTGCTCAAAAGGTACATGGGAATTTTAAAGTAAAATCTATGTATGTATATTTTAAAAATGAGGCACCTCTAGAGTTAAAGCATTGCCAGAGCTTGGAGCAGCTAATAATGATCCTGACAAGCTGAGAGTTTCCAGGTCGAACTCTTCTTAAATCACTATATTAAATCTTTTGATTACTTTTGACTCCTTTTCTAGAAGGTGTCTGAAAAATAGGCAATCTGAAAGACTCCCATCAATTACTCCGCACCAGATGCAAGACTTGCTGAGAACAAGTAAATTATTTTAATTCAGCTTATTTAAGTGGCAATTGCTACATTACATAAATCTGTAATGTTCTTTAGGTGCTGCTTTGTATAGCACTGGTCTGGGACTCTTCTGAATTTAATGATAATGAATTTTTATATCTTAAAGTGTTGACAGTGTAGGGAGCAATAGCAATCACTGGCCCCAGAGCCTTGGACCAGCATCAGTACTGCCAGTACAACGCTTTTGAAAAGAAACTTGGCACTGGAAAGGTTTCCCACCAGCAGCTGTAAAGGACTGAATTTTTCCTCCAGCATCCCTGACGCAGGAGGACGGTTTCACCAACCACCAGGCCCACTCAGCTTTTGCATCAGGGCTGAGGACAATCTCCCCAGTCTCCTTCCCTGAAGTGGTGTTTGCTGAAGGTGCATCCGATGGGCCAGATCAGCCCCCGCACAGCCCGACCGAGCAAAACACGCGCGGGTTCACCCGGTGAAGCCCCCGGCTCCCAAACACAGCCCTGGGCTGGGTGGGGGCTCACGCGTGCGATTAAACCCCGCTGAGTTCAGGCTCTGCTCCCAGCACACTTGCACGGACGTGAACGGGGCAGACGTGCAAGTCTCGGGGGGCAGCGCTACCAAACCCTCGGGGGGAGGCCACCCCCGCCTCCGCAGCGTTCACTGAATACAACCGTGTTCATCGCTTGGTAAAATAGAGCTTTTATTTCTTCATACAAATAGTATGAATTATCAGAATTTCATTTTCCTAGAAACATCTTTCTCTGTGTAAAATTAATTTGTGTTGTACATACCACAAAATACTTGACTTACACTTTTTTTTTTTTCAGATTTTCTTTTTTTGTGGGTTTTTCGTTTTTCCTTCCATTTTGTTCTCTTTTCTTACAAATTGGCTATTCTGTAGTACCATGTTACAGATGACACATGACTAATACCTGTGCTGCACTTCTGAACACAGAACTGAATGAAACTCAGCCATAATTAATGTTACAATGTGAAAAAAAACCCAAAACAAAACAAAAACAAAAACAAGCCAAACTTCTAATTACACCTCCAAGATTAACTTCAAAACAAAGTTGTTTTTGTTTTTTTTTTTTTTAATTATGACAATAACACTGATTCCAGTGTTAGCAACCGGATGTACACCATGGGATATTCACCTTCATCGTCTTATTTATTAGGTAAGGCCTTTAGATTAAAAGTCTGGTGCAGAGTTCATTACGAAGGATATTGAGACAGGGCTAACAATTTGCTCAAGGTTAGAAGAGTTATTATTCACTCTCTGTATTTCTACTCTCCAACAAGATTGCTTCATGAGAGCGTTTGGCAGCAGGGCTTGATTATACAAATTAAGCCCACACTCTGCTGTAGAGCTGAGGAAGGCGTTGGGCTATTAGCAGGTTGTTTCCAAGAAGGAAGACCTAGGTGATGCGAGATCTTCCAGCGCTCGAAAGCAGGCCGGCACACGCGCTCCGGAGCAGCCACGTGCCGCGGCAGGTCCTGCAGGCTCTCCCACGCAGGGAGGGCTCAGCTCAGGAACGTGCCACGGTGGCGGCTGGAGAGGACGAGCTTCTTTCCACACAGTGTGTAAGCCGGCTAGTAGGAAGGCTGAAGTTTTGAGAGCCAAAAATCATGCTTTTTGAGCAGGGAGTATTTCTTTCCCCCCCACCCCCCACCCCTCGCCCCCTGCAGCCCCTTTCCCTCAGTCACCCAACAGCAGCAGGGGTTGTGACAAAGCAGACACGCTCGTGTATTTGTTGCTTGTCCTGGCAGCAGGGAACAGAGCCAGGGACCTGGCTGGAGCTAAACCCAAAGCCCCCAAACACACATAAGATCCAACCACCACTCGAGGTTCGCAGCTGCGTTTTGCAGGACAGGGGTCCCCGTGTGCGGTCTGTCAACCCGTGCAGCCCAACGGGGCCCACGCTCACGCCTGGGACCTCCAGCAGTGGGGCTGCACCAGCCCAAAGCATCTGTTCATTTCCAGAAATCGCTCAGGGCAAAGAGAGGAGATTTGCCCAACTTTCCCTGTTTGCAGGGACATGTGCTTGGAGGCAAAACCCAAGGAGGGATTTGCATCCTGCTCACATCAGGCTTGCTAGGCAGCTCATTCCTGACATCATGCTTAGCATCTCCCTTTCCTTCAGGGTGCCCCCGAGCACTGCACCCCATGTATGAACCCACACACGCCTCACCTGCACTGACAGGGGCGCGACTCCCGAAATCCCTGCAGAGACGTGACACTGCTGAGCCAAGCCAAGAGCCCTTAGGTTTGAACAGAGCACTGAAGGGCAGCACTTTACCTGCAAATCCCTCCCGCGGACCCAGAAGTGGGTCCTGCTCTTTGCCATATCCACTTGAGCAGGACCTTGCTGCTACCTTGCTCCAAAAACGTTCCAGTTGGGCTAGCAGAACCTCAACAGTAACAATAAGCATCGGACACTTATGGTATTTATCAAAACCTTCTGAGCACACAAAACCTGGATAGAGCTCTCAGGAGAGCCCTGCCAACCTGTTCTAATGCCCCAAAGCATTTGGTTCCACCTGAGGGGAAGGATGTCCAGGTTACTGTACCTGGGTTGATGGTTAAGTGCTCAGAGCCTCCCATCCTGCCTGGCTGCAACCCCTGCGCTTGCCCGGGGCATTGGGGAAGCTCCCAGCCGCCAGCAACACCCCAACACAGCCCAGACTCCCCTCCTGCTTTTCTACGGATCCATCCTCATTGGCAAAGCAGCACTTCTTCCTGGCTCTAGGCAAACGCTGCTCCCTGGGAGAGACCACGGATAGGGTGTTGGACCAAAAAGTAACAGGAATCAAGAGAAGCAAGGCTGGTGTTGCCCAGTGTCATGCACCGGGGGCGGCTCCAGCGGCCGCGGGGCTGGGGGTAGCGCTGCCCGCGCCGTGTCCTGGGACACCCTCCACGTTGGGATGGCACCAAGCAGAGACCTGGGGTTTTTTCTCGTGTCTCCAACGGCGTCCCTGGCGGGTGGGGGGCTGCTTCCCACGCTGCAGGCACAGCCGCCTCCCGGCAGCACCCCGGGGGCACGGGGCGCTCCTGGAGCGACGCTCCTTGCCAGTCATTCAGCCCAGCGCCGAGCGAGTCACATACAGATACATGTATTTTACATTTGTCCTGCAGTAAAGGTTTAAAATGCATAGAGGGATCATGGGAAAGAGCCTCCTCGACAAAAGCCAAGAAGAAGTGTACTGAGGAGACAGCTCTGCAGCTTCTCTGCTAGAAAGACGGTGCCCTCCCGGCAGAGAGCTGGGCTGGGGAGCAGGAGCTGCCCAGCTCGGGGTTCCCCACACTTTACACCCGCCCGTAAAACACGCTGCTGCTCAGCAGAGGTATGGGGGTTGCAGGGAGATGTCCAGCCTCCCTCTCCACCCACCCCAGAGAAAACCCCCCTCCCGGGGCTGCGGGGCTAACTGGGAAGCTGTGGGATGAGCGAGCACAACGCCGGAGCACAGACTGGGACACTGGAATAGGGAAAGCAAGTGTTTATAAAGGCCAGATACCCGTAACAAAAATAAATTTGTGCTTTCCCTCCCTCCCCGCCCCTCCCCTGCCACCCTCGCTTTTTTTGATTTTTTTTTAAATACAAATTTTGTTTAGGAAAAATGGAAGCACCGTCTGTTACAAACCAAACCAAAAAGAGGAGAAAACAGAAGGAAAAAAAAAAAAAAACAACAAAACCAAAAACAAACAAGAAAAGGAGACACATATTAGAATTAAACACTGTGGAATGTTAAACAGGTTACAGGCTACCGTTCTAGCCAGTGCGGTTAGGCAGCTTAGTGAATTAATTGCTTAGGAATTAAAAATAAATTATTATAAAATAGATTTCTGTACATTTTACATACATATATATCTCTTTATATACGCAAACCGTGCTGGGCAAGTAATTACAGAGGACTTTCCCACGCCAGCCTCAGTCCCAGCCAAAGTCCTGCCCCGTCATCTGGTAGAACTTCATGTTGAAGGGCCGGTAGAAGTCCCGCAGTCTCTGCACCACCTCCTGGTCTATGTCGGGGTGGGTCCTGCCTTTCGTCTTCCCCAGGCAGTGGGGTTTGCTGCTGCCTTCCGCCTTCTTCAGGCACGGGAACCCCTTGGTTTTGTTGAAGTAGAAGTGTTTGTCGGTGATGATCCTCTTGAGGCCCAGAAAGTCCTGGACCCTGCCCAGCTCCCCCGCGGGGTCGCTGATCAGCCTCTCCCCGCTGACGAAGAGGATCTGCCCGATGGGGAAGTAGAGGAGCCAGTTCTCCAGGTGCTTGGCGTAGATGCCAATCTGGATGGCGCTCCACGAGGTGTCGATCAGGCCCGTAGTCCTGTTTTTGAAGGTCAGGCTCTCAAAGGTGGGGATATCGGGCTTCTTGGAGAGCGTCTGGGTGTAGTCCGAGATGGCTCTGGTCACCGGGTCCCGCACCACCACGATGAGCTTCGTGCCCTTGGACATGGAGGAGATGCGGGCTGGGGCCTCCTTAGTGACGAAGTAGCTGGGGGTCTTCTCCATGGTGATCTGTCCCTCCAGTGTCCTGGGCATGAGGTCCCTGCCAGCAAAACACACAAACATGGGTCACAACAGCAAGTAACAGAAACAAAAATATGCATATATATATATATATATATATTCACACATAGATACACAAGAATTTTTCTCCCTAAAATGCCTACACAGGCCATTTAGCTTGTATGTATAAATCCATTTTCCATTGATTAAGGGATTAGGGGGGTGGATTATTATTAAAGGTCACTGTATTAGAAATCCAGCTGAGTAATCTCCCAGCTATCCATGAGTGGATTAGCTGGGCTACACTCTGCACCTGGAGTGTGGCTACATGTACCACACCGGCTGCAGACCAGTCAGGATGAGTCCTGAGCTGCCCCAGGTGGCTCTCCTAACACCAGAGAGCCTCAGCCCCAACTCAGAGCTTGTCTTCTCCATGAGAACGAGAGGAACTGTGGAGCAAAAAAGCAGGAGCTCACCGGAACACGTCCAGCTTGCTCTCCCTTAGCATCCCAAACTCAACACGTTTTCCAATTCAGGCAAGCGGGTGCAATTTGTCCCCAGCTTGTCAACAGCAGGACCTCACCCAACCGCAGGGGTCCTCCTGCACCCAGCTTCGCCCACTGTTTTACTATTCCTTATCGCTGTGCAGACTTGTTCCCTAATATGCACTAGAAGAAACACCAAGTGCTGCTGGTGGCACCTTCAGCCCATCAAAGTCCAGCACTCAACAAGGACAACCTCTCCCCTCCAGTGCCACACAGGCTACAGCAGGTCAGGATACAGGATATGACTGCAGAGAAGACAACCTCAGCTCATGGGTAGGATGTACCCTTAAAAAATACCCTTGAAACCTAAAGCCTTCAGCAATTCCACCTTATTCCCTGGCTACTTCTGGTTAACCATGTGGGAAGAAACTAGAGAGCTTGCAGAAATGATGGAAGCGGCACAAAGCAGGAAGAGTAATTTTTTCCTATCACTCACTAGGCAAGCCTAAATATTTTAGACCATTTGACAATTCTTTCCCTTTATAACCCAATGGGACTCATTTGCTCTAGGTTGGAAGACAGTTTTTTCAAAAAAAGGCAAGAGGGGAGTCAGCCACAAAATTAAAGCTATAAAACTTGATTACGTTTTCAAAGCATCCACCCAGAACGGAGAAATAACCAGCCAGTGTGTGATCTGCAAGCCTCAAACAGCGTTTCCCTCAAATGTACAACACTGCACACAGAGGCTGCTTGTTCCCGGACAGCCATCTCCTCCCTCACCACTTTTATGCCTCTACAGCAAAGATCACCATGAACTCTTGCAATTAAAAAAGCCACTGATAATTTGTGCTAAAGCCAATGGTTGCCCCAATTAAGCAGCCAAGGGACAAAAACTGACCCATCTGTTCTGAGGCCAAATAATAGGAAAACCAGGAATGAGAGGTCTGATTGAATCAAAAATCATCACATGCCTATGAAAATGGTTCAGTAGATATTTATGCAACTACTATTTAGCTCACACTGTACCCGCTTTTTACTTCACCAGCTTCTGACACTAAATTTATGCAATGTGTTTCCTGGCAAGGGGCACCCAATGGCTACACTCTGCACTGCAGGTGAGGTGTGTGCAGGGGCTGCCCAGAAAGCCCCTTCTCTACAGACCCACGGTGGGAGACGGTCCCCACACCAGATCTGCACGGGTCACTGGGAGAAGTGAAGATGGACAAGCCAGACTGCGGAGGAAGGGGGATATCAGCTTGTGGAAACCTCCAGCTATGCCCAAGGGTGGTGGCAACCCCTAGGGCTGTGATTTCAAAGCCAGGCAAGTGTAGTTTCCCATGCAGTTAAAAATCACGCTGGTCTATCAGACACCTGGGATGCAAGAGCTTCTGGAAGTCAAGAACCGGTGTGTGCCAAAAACCAGTAACCAAAATAAAACTCTGACTAATGCTTCACCTTTCTGGCCAGCTCCACAGACCTGTAACGCCATCGCAGAACAGAGTCAGTCAATAACACTCAGAGACCAACTCTTAAATCTATCGCGGGCTGATGTGGATTTCGACAGTCTACTCATTAAGTGCTGTCTCTTTTTATGGCCACATTAAATCTGAGTTCTACATCCTGAGCTGGCCACCAACTACTTTCCAGCTTGATTTAAGAGGTTGGTTTCAACCCATGAAGTCCTTAATGGCCTGGGACCTGCCTAGAGAGGAGGCTGCTTCCCAAGGCATGCTCAGGATGGCCATGCTGCCCTGAAGCCCGCTGGCTTCAGGTCAGGACCATCAAATTTCTTGCTCTGCGGACCCAGCACCTCGAGACCGACTTCTCCTCCAGGACTACTATAATCAGTATGTATCAGTCTCCTGGGAATGACAGGAGGCTTATTTTTTCTTCCTTGCACAAGAGAGGCACTGAGTAGGGCTGGGCCATGAAACTGGAGGAAATTGCTGGGGGTGGAGGTGCTGAGTCAGTTGATGTGGTTGGGAAACACAGGCTCTTAATTAGTGTTTCAACAAACACAGAGTGCACTGCAGAAGACAGCAAGGAGCAACTCTTCATCTGAGAGGTACCCACTGTCCCAGTGTCAGTCCCTTTGCAGACCAGCCAGCACCTGAACCCACATTCTTGATTTCAGGCTGAGGACATCCAGCAAGTCTTGTTTCTGACAGAGCTGAGAGCACTCAGTTCTGTGCAGGTCTAGACACACACCCACCCACCCCACCCCTCAAATTGTTATTTTTGGAGTGGACCTGAGACCTTGGCATTTACAGACCATCTCACTGGTGACCCAACACAGCAAGACAAGGCACATCACTGACACTGCTACCACTGTCTGGCTTGGTCAGCACAGGCTAAGATGAGCAGAGATAGTAATGAAGCCTTCAGCCCATGAATGAGAACTGAATCCACCAAAATCAGCCTTCAGCCCTAGCTCCAGCCCTCTCTTCCTTTGTTGTACCCAGACCGGTGCCAGGCATAGCCCAGAACTAACATCCTTCAGATTGTCTCAGATGCTGCCTTGTTTGAAAAGTGGCTGCATAAAAGCTAGACAGCAGCAAGTGTAGCCAAGTACCGTGACCCATGGATGTGCTTTGAACCTCTGACAGCATCACATCCAGGAAAGCAAAGCTTTATTGCATGGGTCTGTCCGTTGTGACAAGCTTTCCCATGATTTCCATAATCTCCCATAGAGGCATCAGTCGTCCCGCTGGCAGCCAGAGACAACAGAGCCTCAGGGACAGGTGGAACTGGTAAGTTGGCTGGTCTGAACTCACACAGGTGGAAAAGTCACCAACAAGTGTTTATTCCCATTCAAACCACAACTGGAAAAGGGCAACTCGGCCCTTGTATAGCACTGCAGCTCCAACACAACACACCGCACATACGTGTTGGGGGGAAGTAGGACCAGTCTCCAGCCCTGAACACATCTGCTCCTGGGGCTCCAAGACAGCGAGGGCTGCACTGAACAACTGCCGCTGCAGAAGGAGGGGAAAGAGGAGCCGTAACGCTCAGAAGAGCCGTAGCCACCGTGCCCTGGCAGGATGCAAACCCCTTTAGGGGAAAGTAACAGCAGAAACCCACGTTCAGCTCAATGGTGCACACACAGTTCAGCCCTGGGGCAGCTCGTGACAGCTGTGGAGCCCTCTATTTCCATGGAAGCTTCACAGGCACGTTCGAGACCTGGGCAGCTTCTGCCAGCACTGTTTGGTGCAAGGTAAGAACAGCAGAGGTGCGGCTGGCACCGCTGGCCATTCGGGAGAGGAAAGGGAGATGAGAGAGGGAGCCAGGCTGTGGGAAACGGGGAGCTCAGCTGAGCCCTCGGACAAGAGTTGCCACACCAGTTGGGACTGGGCTGGATGGAGACACCACTGAGGGCTGCAGTGGATACTGTAGGGGAAAAAAAAAAAAAAAAAAAGATAGTATGAAAAGCTTGGCAAGCAGTCCCTCCTGCCTTGTTATCCTCCTGCCTTCTGGCAACCTGGAGTTCAAAGACCTCTGGAGCCAGCATCTGCATCCAAATCATCCCATTTCATAGTGTTTATGAACTCTCTAATCCTTTCAAACCCACGAATGCTTTTGGCCTTGAGAACATCCCACAGCAGAGAGTCCCAGCACTGAAGCACTGCCTCTACCCGTCATTTGAACCCTCTCCCTACACCCCTGCTCGGGAAGGCACCAGGCACACGTTTTTCTGAGTGTGGAGAAGGAAAACCAGAGCAAGGAGCCCCAGCAGACACCCGGCACCCCTTATTCCCCCGCCGAGCCCAGGCAGCAAAGCGCTTTTGGGGCTCAGCACCACGCTGCTGACTTCGGCAGAGCTGCCGGCAGCAGCGGGGGTCCCAGCGAGAGGAGGGGGCTGCTGCGTGAGCACAACTATGAATTTTCTGCAGGCAGGGAGCAGAGCCCCTAACCCCGAGCTATTAACATGTCAAGAGGGACAGAGGAAAAGCTTTTTCTTTAATGAGGAATATTTCCTCAGTGAAGCCTGCACCCTTCGTAGGCGAAGTGATAGGCTTAGTCTAAAGATGGATTGGCCTACTTTACCTATTAACCACTTAGACTAATGTAATAAAGGCTCCCTTTATTCAAACAGCCCTAATCCCCAGCCCCACACAGCTCTGAAGCCTGTAATAAGAAGGGATGCTAAAACAAACTCCGCCAGGCTGCTGCTTGGAGAGGCACTGGGGGGAATTTTATATTTTTTTTAAGTGCAAACTTCTCCAATGCAAAAACTGGACCCAGAGCGAGATAAATTTACAAAGTGGGGATGACAGGTGGCCACACGGTAATCCAATCCTGAAGCCTAATGCCCTTTGTGGCAGCTTTTGTCTGCACAGAGGGGCTCCGGGCTAATCTGCTGCCACTTCTCAAGGAGGAATGGCGAGGGGCCGCGGGGGTCGAGGGGACCTCTGCAACCTGTTGCTGCATTATTCGCCGCAGGTAGGACGGACCAGTGCGCAGGGCAGAGCACAGCAGTCGTCACTGATTTTATCCCTGGGGACGTCTGTCAGTGTGGGTGCCCCCCCCCCCCGCCCACCACACACCTCCTGCCATT